GTGAGGAATTCCCGTATACTTTCATTTTTTGAAGAAATTCCAAGGATGATTTTACTTCTGTTTAGTGAGTGATGGTGGAAAATTATGGCAATTATTCAAATTTCTGTTTTGGGTAGATGGTTTGGGAGAAAAAGAGTTAAGAGTTTACCCATCCAGCCGATCGGTTCCCGTACAACTGCGTGGGAACCGATCAGAACAGCTCCAGCCGCATCCTATAATCCGCAGTTCCCAGAGGCAAAGGGAACGAGTCCAACAAACCCTTGAAAAACCCGTCCAGTCTAGAAAAGTGATAGGCCCATCTATAGAGGGTTGTTGTTCATTTCGTCGGAGGATTACTCACATATTGTCCTATCATGGCATATTACCCAGCAATTATAAGCAATTATGTATATAGGGGCCTTTGTAAGAGTTTTATGGCCTTACTATTTACGATGTTTACCATTACTATTAGTGCTCTTTGCCTATTGTAGCCCGCTGTTTCCGTTATTTGTATGCTGTTTCAGAGTCATGAGCTGAAACTGGGAACCAGTGGATACCTTCCGAATGAGAAGGGAGATTACAAGGTTGGTTACTGTTACATAAAAAGGAACTATTTCTTAGGATAAGAACTGTTGATGCCAAATTCATTCACAGAAGAAACACTTTCCATCTCAATAGGAATGAAGCAGTACGGGACAAGTCAGTAGTTCCACCGTCAGAGTAGTGCACGATATGGCATCAACTTCATAACCGTCGTTATCCGTTCCAGGCGGAACTCCCCTTAATGTCTTACGGTATGGAAGCGCTTCAATTAAGCAGCTTCGTACTCTGAAGTTACTAAAAGTGGAATCCTTGATGGAGGAAAGGGGGAAAGGGGGAGTGGGGTGAGGGACAAGGTGAGTTGGCGCACTTGGCCGGATGACCACGTCCCGTTGTCCTTTTATAGGTAGTAGAAGCGTTAGATGGTCGGGATTAGGGAAATTTTGATCTCTAGCGATATCTCAAGTTAAATTCCAGATTAATGTTAAAAATTGAGTGTGGAAGCTAAGTGACAAGAGCAGCTGGCCATTTTTAAATGAAATTTTTATTCTGAACCCTGTGGATGCTTGAAAAATTAGCTCTGAATTTTCACTCGCTCCTACGAATTCCATGACCGACAATCAACAACTAGCCGGCAGACATGAAGCTTACCTTATTCATTTAGGTGAGCATGCGGCACGAAGATTACAAACTAACAGTGATCGATCCAAAGGTGGAATATTTTGAAGTCACAATTTGAAATAAATTTAATTTATTGATCCCATCGGTAGAAAAAACTGTTTTAGGTGCGCTCCAATGCTAACATGCCTTTGCACTCAACTACATTACCAGATGCTAAACGGGAGATAGCTGGCGATTTTCCCAGTCAACACTCTAAACGCAGTTTAATCAAACTCGAGCCACTCGAACAAAGACGATTCAAGGTAATCCATAAAAAAATTTTTTTGCATCAAGAAAGTGTCTTGAGTATACTGTAAGCCTGCGTGCAACGCATAAATCAATAAAAAGTTTTAAAAAATTTTAAAAAATCAGAAAATTATAAATAATTATACTATAACTATATATATATGAATTAAAGCCAGGTTAATAAATTCTAAAATTATTGGGGTTAGGTTTATCTCTTATAGTTGGCTAAGGGGCAACGACTGGGTTGTGACCGAATGCGACCATCTACAAAATGAGGCCTAAAGTGTATTGCGCTCAGACTACCTGTACAGGCAGACTGCTGTAGTACTCCCAACGATCTGATCCATGTAACGCTTTTTCTTTGGAAACTCGAATAGCTGGCAAGAATCCACAAAATTTTTGAGAAGCTAGTAGTGTGTAGACTGGTTTCCTGTCTAGTCCCCCTAGCCACCAAAAAGTAGACAGCGCTCATCGCTAAGACGAAAATTCGAATGAACACGATGCAGACGAGGAAATATCGAATGAAATCATAGTCTCAGAGGACAATGGTAACTGGTTTTCGTTGTAAGTGAAACCTGCGGCCATGTCACTATTGCAATCCATAATTCAAATCTACAGCTGATATAGTGTGTCCAAAATTCTACAAATACGATTATTCCATTTTCTCTCAGTCCAATCTCAGCGACATTCAATTAGCTACTTCTTCAATTTCTGGTGTTCCTGGCTATTCTCTTATTATTTAGTTCTTTTCGTTGGAACTCGATTGATAACCCTTACTCAAATCTCTACATCCCTACGTGCCCTGTAAAAGCTGTTCCGTAATTAAGTAGAGCAACAAATAAATAAATAAGCATTCTGGTTGTAAACAAGATGCTATTTCGCTGTCTAAAAATAGTTTAGTTTATTATCAAATAAATAATTAAAACAAAGTCTCCAAAAATCTAAATAAGGTAATCCCATTTTCTGGTATGCTCCTCGCATTCGACTTCCATTCTGTTTCGGGCGCAGTGGCTTTAAAAGTGTACATGGCTTGTACAATAAGTTGGCAAGCAAATGTACAAGGTAACACTTTTATTTTCCCAGAGGAGTCTGTTACCACTTGCTTTTATCCTCTCAGAGAAGCCTGTTATCCCTGAAAAGATGGAACGCTTGATTGGTTTGGGTTCGGGTAAGTGTAGAGCCAGGATTCGACCCCTGGACGTATGCCCCTCTCCCCCCTCGTGTATAATGCATTGCCACCGTTGCCCGTGGCAGCAAATTGTGAAAATAAATACATAAATAGTAACCCAGTCATCAGCCAAGGTACCATCAGGGTAGAAGCTTTTTGGAGGACAGTTCATCTTACTGGAGAAAACAAACTGTAAATTAGAAGTAATTCTAAATATTTATATTTACGTAAACAAACTAAGACTAGGAGTAACCCGGTCCTAACCAAGCAGATTATAACACAGCTCTATTCTCATTTCAAGATCATTTTTGAGATACCGTTCTGATCTGCAACTTTTCAGAGCACAGAATCTCGTCCAATTACTACAAGCAATTATCTGACAGAAAGTGTCGAACGACATCGTGAAATGGAAGCCAGTCGTCTTAGAGATTACCTCAAAGCAAAGGAGAGCGATGCAAATAAACCTTGGAACAAACCCGGATGGCCTGGGCCAAAGGTAAACCCGTCTACGGGACTGCACAATTAGTATTCAGGATGGAATGTCCTGAATTCACCACAGTTCTTATAGTAACATTGCAGCACCGAGATTTCCATTCTAACATCACAATTCGTTCCTATTGATTATGAATCGATCAATAATTTTATTCCCATGCCTTCTTTCTTCTTTTCCCCTATCCTCGAGCTGTAGAACTGCGAATTTGAGTGCTCAGATTGAAATCAATCACAATTCCATCCATTCCAGAAAACCGACGACGAAAGCCTTCGCGAATTGGAACATATCAGAAAGGTGGGTTCAATTTGATCCCAGCACGTGCAAAAAATTGCTCATCAGGGGTTCGGAGTACGGTCATGACGCCTTACCCAAATAAGCTTCCCTAGAGCTCTTTACAAGTTGGGTACTTTTCTCCAATCTATCAAACTCCTTGGACTACTCGTTTGGAACCTACATCGAACCTCATATGAGTAAATTGGAAGAATTTCATTTATATCCATCTAATACTTGATTATTTCAGTCCATTGAAACCCTGCAGAAGGTAGGTGAAGTGTTGTGGTGGAGCGTTTCGCTTGTCTATCTGTCTGTTTGTCCGTCCGTCCGTCTCTATCGTGATCAGCGTGTGTGATTGTGTGTGGCGTACCCAGCTTAATGTCCGTTATATGTCCCCCTTCATGTATGACCTTACTGAAAAGACCTCTGACCCCACTGGAGATTACCTTCTTGCCAATCCGCCCTCTGCTTTTCATCACACACACCAACTTCACACTGCAACACAATATAAGCATGAGTGAGTTTTTGCATTGGATTCAGTTACGCAAGCCACTCCAGTGGCTCCAAAACCGTTTAATTAATTGGAAATTCAGAAAATCAAACGAGCTCAGTCGATGTACGACCTTCGGGAACGCCCTACTCCAGCTGAGTTTGCTAGGGAGACTCCGGTGAGTTCGAGAGCATGTATAAAAATTAGAGAATTGATTACAAGCTAACGTTAATACTTATTATGGATATACAGCAGAGATAAAAGCGGCATCGACATGCCCATGGGGTTCTTGATTTACAAGTTTCGAAAAGGTAAAGGAAGGAAGTGGCCCTACAATTGTGAACTTCCTATCTTCTGTCTTCCCTTCCAAACCCCTCTCCCCTCAAGACTGTGATGAAATTGGAAGTTCGCCAACAAAGGCTGCTCTCAAAGTTACCACCCGAACATCATAGTTCCGACAACTACACTGCTGCGTGCTTACTATTTTGAAGCCTCCAGGGTTTCATAAGCTCACATCATACCAGCCTGTATAGGCTAAGAAGTAAAAACAAATTTGAAGGGATCCTTGGAAGGGCTCGATGAGTCTTCTTTTTTCTCTTCGTTCCACCAAAAGGAAACTTATCATTCTTTAGGATTGAGATAAAAAGCAAGAGTTACTTCTCAAAAGATCGTTGTATTTCAGCGCCCTCCTCTGCTAAGTAACGGTCGTGAAGTAGTGGAAAGTTCCGACTTCGACCCTCGACGCCGATGGGCATCCACCGGCCAGCTGACTGTCGAGACTACAGAGCGCAACGTTCGTCGAGTTAGTGTTTTCTATTTTTCTTCCTTTTCGTGAGAAAAAAGTATGTAGTAACTCTAAAACTCTAACTACTGGGACCAGAAGCAGTCGACATGAATGGATATATCAAAGTGGAAACAGAAGTTCACACCCCCTATTACAAACTTCGGTAAAATAAAAAACTGCCATAGGGAAAAGCGCTAAGATTGAGAGCGATTTTGTGGTTATTTTGTGGTCTGGTCTATGCTTTTAAAGAAACAAGGGTTCAACCAAAGCTACTTACCCTTTTGCCCACCCACGAAAATCACGAAAATCAGTGGCCTCCTAAATCAGATGAAGGCATGAGAATTTTTAGTGCTGGATTTTTATTGTTTCAAAGCAGAACGAATGTCTTTATTCACTTCTCTATCCACAGGCTGCAGTCGGGATATTTTTCCAAGGAATCGTCTTTGCTCGAGAATGACAGTGATGAATAGGATTCTGATTAATATTCAACGACCAGATCCCATTAGCGAAAATTCCCAGAAAAAAATCGTTAAAATCCACGATTTTTCAAAGAAATGGGTATCTTCCGGTCTCGCCCACATCGCATGAGTTATTCGCTCTCATTGTCAAGAGTTCTTTCGTCTATTTGCTACTTTTCATCTCNCAACCAAAGCTACTTACCCTGTTGCCCACCCACGAAAATCAGTGGCCTCCTATGTCAGATGAAGGGATGAGAATTTTAGTTTGCTGGATTTTTGTTGTTTCAAAGCAGCACGAATATCTTCATTCCTTCTCTATCCACAGGCTGCGGTCGGAAAATCCTTCCAGGGAAATTGTCTTTGCTCCAAAAGTGACAGTGACGAATTGAACTCTGATTAGTATTCAACGACCAGATTCCATTAGCGAAATTTTCAGAAAAAATCGTTTAGACCCACAATTTTCCAAAGAAATGGGTATCTTCCGGTCTCGCCCACATCGCATGAGTTATTCGCTCTCATTGTCAAGAGTTCTTTCGTCTATTTGCTACTTTTCATCTCAGTTTACTCATGGTAGCGCATCTTTCGCGCTACCCTTCGCCCGCCTACTCTCACATAAACCGTTCCAACGGGATTATTCGATAAATTCAGCGCTTTGCGTTCCCAGAGGTTCTACTGCCTCACCCTTTGAGTAGATTCGTACAAATTTCAACTCACTACTGATTCCTATTCTGAAAACTTAAATAATCTAATTTTTTATCTCATGTAAGCATCATAAAGGTACTTCACGACAATCCCTTATCTTAAATTTGGTATGTTTCCCTCCTCTATTTGTGACTTTTCCAGGTTATCAAGCACTCCCCACGACATAGCGATAATCTCCATCGACAGTTTCAAAAGGAATTTCATCTTACTCAATTCGCGGTACGTTTTGTAGCACTTAACATCTCCATCATTGAACTCTCCTATCTCTTGAGACTGACTAAATTTTATTAAGAAATTCTGATTTTGAAATTTGGATTTTAATGGTTCCACTTCGATCCTGGATCCTGGACAGTGATTAATTACTCGAATTAACAACATATATAAGTTTAAATAAAAGTCTCTGTCGCCTACAGAACGATACAAACATTTCATAACCTTGTATCAAAAGTTAGAACCATTGACCATTTAGAATCCGGACATCTCAGTTAGTCTTGTCGGTAGGAAATATGCCTGTTGCTGCAACATTATCTTGCAGCCCTACAATCTATATTTATAAATATAATCCTTAATTTATAGTCTTTAGCATCTCCAAAACACTCATTTAAGCTGATTACATCGATGATTACAACGGGTCGACGGTAGCTTCCATCCAGTGGCACTTTTCGCCGTTACACAAAAAATGTTCTATTGGTTCAGTGTAGTGTTTAAAGTAGTGTCAACTGACAGCGCTACCACTTGTGTGGTTCAGGAATCGAGCTGGGGATCGATACTAACCCGGGATAGTCAAAACTTTCATACCCTCAAGTCATGTCAATTCCACCCCGCCAGGGAGGTTGTACATTAGCTGCCCAATCCCATCCGTCCCAAGATATCTAACCACCTCTCAAAGCGAATTTGAGCCAATAGGGTGGGCCCAGTATAAAGCAAGACAGATCACTTTTGAAAGTATCATTTTTCACGCTCCCAGCCCTGCTTGTATCATAACATTTGACAAAGAACTGGTTAGAACTCAGTTTGAAAGACCCGTTTTGAAAACTCAGCACGTTTGACATACCAACGATGACCCATCATTGTTTACCATAGAGATTCTCACCGAAAAAGTGTAAGAGCTTTTTCCAGAAATTCAAATAAACTTCCACTCGAGGTGGTCTCCACGAAATTGGAAAACGTTGTGACTAAAACAAGTGTAAAGCGCGGAAAAAAGCTTTGTATAGAAAATTGCAAAAAGCAGACGAATTGGAGTAAAACATATGTCCCTATACAAATTATGTACAATTTCAAATCATAATCTGATCGCTGTAGATGAAAAGTGAGGTTATAGTGAAAGAGGAATTCTGGATGCATGCCAATGATTATCACATTCGTTGTGCATGCATGATGTAGCCGCCTATAACTCAGAACTCCAGGATTTCTACCACTTCGTGGCACAGTTGTGATTTCTGTTTTATAAATCTAGCTCTAGGGTGGGGCTGGAGCTTAAGCTGATCTGGTAAAATAACAGATTGCCGCAAGAAGAGGGTTAGGGAGGGACCAGCAACGCTGAATATCGCGATTAGTAGTCATTTTGGAGACAGAACCACCACATTGATTTTCACTCCACCAATATCGCTGTTTCGATCGAATTCAATTGAAATGGTAGAGCAAACATATGTAGAAGTATCAAAGTATAAAAGAAAAAATCGAATCATTCTTCCTGTACTACTTTCAATCAGGCATTTTTGTCTATTAAGATATGTTATCACCCCTCGAAACCAGTGTATGACGCTGTCATCTGGGTAACGCTAAGGACTGAGTCTGAAGTTCTACATTGTATTCACCTGTTTTCTCCTGGGCCCCACTTCCCCGATGTCCCTTTGAGATGAAACTTTGTAAGGGGGATGGGCATTGTCAGACAGCATACTTCATTTTTCTTAAATCGATTATTTTCAGAAGGTTTTAACTTTTCAAATCCAAAGAAAAACGGGAATCAACGAGCACTCAGTTTGGGGCTAGCCTTTTTGACCCTACATTCTCCCTAGAGTGTTGTGTTAATCAAAGCTGAACAAGTAAAATTCGCTTTTATTTTCACGTTGAAACGTTAAATTCATCAAACTGAAAGAGAATGGGTAGTTTTTCAGTCAAGTTAGATCTCCATCTGAACGATCATCGGGCCGATAGCTGTCCCTTCGTGGGCTTTCCCTCCCTGATCTTTGATCCTACACTACGAAACTAAACAGGGAATAAATAAGACATTGATTGTTGTCCCATCACCTGAAGAAGTCCTGGTCCGTGATTCCCACACCATTCCTGAGATATTTCTCGACTGAACGATCAATGTCTGGGTCAATTTAATTCACTTTGGAGCCCCTAATAATATTCATTAACAGAATTTTTTGGTTTTTTTTTCATACCGACTTTTTCAATATATATGCCTTATGTTAGTGTTGATTTGATGACTACTGCAAATCGGATTTTTCGAGATTATCGTTATCACGAAGTTTATCAATTGACAGTGAAATAATCCAGACAATAACCCACATCAGTCCTTCGTTCTGCTACCTAACTGTAGCTTATTCATTGGGCACAGGATGTGGGGATAGGCCTTTGCCAACAAATCAGAATAGCCGTCATACACTTCAGTTTTTAGAAAGTATATGGGCATGGTTGGGCTCAACTTATCGTGAGATTTGGCTTTTTGCTAGGCTTCAATTTTCAGCAGCTTCTTCATCCGGGCTTTTGTACTTTCTCCGTACTTATTCGACTTCCTTTTCAACAGTTATTCTGTAATAACTTTATAGTTCCCGAGATTCAAGGGTCAAGTGATAGAAAACAGGAAAAATAAGAAGTAGAGGTAGCAGTATTATGAACACAACCTGGGAAACTAATGTCAGCAGGAAGTAGTGGCATTTCCTGCTAAAGAAAATGTAACGACTACAGTAGCAGAACTTGGAACCGATACTTTTTATTTTTTCTAAATTCAAGTACTGTCTGAGCGATACCCTCGTTTGCCCTCCGCCCATGTTATTCTGCTCTTTTCCCAGGAACGGCTTTCTTCCATGGATTAGTACTTTCCACTTGAAACACCTGCCACCTGACCTTTCCACCATGACGATCTCTGTTTGCCAATTCTCCCAACGGTCAGATCCATAATTGGAGACTTCATCCGACATCCAATCCATGATTTTCAGTATTAACACCAATATTAGGCCCTCTCTCAGACCATATTTGGACTTGTTCGGCTAATTGGTTCCGATATTAAACATTTCCGAGAGCGTACATCCGGATATAAGTTCCAAAGGAATGTTCTGCTTCTCCGTATTTGTTTCAGCTGTGTGATCGGTCGATCGACGACGACGACGACGACGACCTCAGTCAAACAAGCGCTGAGCGCGGTCACGCATGCAAACACATGCTGCTCGACGACTCTCAAGAACTCGACCGAGGAAGCCGCTACTTCTAGCCGATGTTGCACTTTGCCTCAGTAATTATCACCTAACGGCTTCCAGAACTTTCGATAAATCCGAGGAGTTCATTCATCAGACCCCGTCTCGACATGGGACGAATTTCCGAAGTTCCCTGGAGTGTATGGGTTCCCTGGAGTGTAGTGGCAAACTCTTCAAAGTGTCGAAAGATTCTTTATTTTGTCACCGGGAGAGTATTACTCTGAACGTTTGAAAAGATGAGGGTTTAGCCGAGTGTTAGCCCACTTGACAGGGCAAAACCTCATGTTGAATGTCCAGCTCGGCTCGTTTCTTTCTCGCTTAGTTTCGTGTTCCACGCGCACCGCAGGGGTATTACTTTAGCAGTTCCCATATACTAAGAGGGTTGCCGTACTCTTGAGTGTCGGCACGAACTCTTGGGCTCTTGGTTCGGCTTATCAGCGACTCTGGGCTTGCGCGGAGTGCTCACCTCTACTGTTTGTTTTCATTTTCGCCCACGCTGCTCGTTCCACCTTCACCGCCACCACGGCGGCGAGGACTTCGACTCTCGGCGTACCCCTTAACGTCGACATTTTGTTCATTTATCGTATTAGCGCACTAATCCTGTCGCGCCTACGGGCCGAGCAACGACCGCCAAGCCGACTGCACTTCTCTACCGTACGCAACACAACAGCGTACGCTTCTCACATTGGCTCTCACTGTTCATGGAAGACCCGTGTGCATTTCTCCATCGCTACTCTCGAACCACCTCAATCTGGTCCATTGTTTGTATTTCGCTTGTCGGCCACGTTCAATCGATCTGTTTTACTGAATGCCGTTTGTTCGTATGCTTCTCAGACATCGTTTTGACATCCGTCGGTCATCGACGACTGTTCAGCAACAACACGGCGGCCGACGTTTCCAATGAGGGACGACGACGTCGACAACGACGACGACGAGCCGCCATACTCTGTTCGGCGTCTTCGCCAGGCTTACCTGGATAAAGTTCGCGCTTCATCCAGTGGATTACCACCTCGACGAATCACTCCCCTTGCTGCTTCCATCACTCCGTCACTGCCATATATTCCCGAAGTCGATGAGGTCTTTCAAAAATGTTTTCCATAGACTCCTATCACATTTTTTATCTTTTGGCAATGACTGTGTTTTTTTTTTTATTTTTGCTCATTTCTTCTTTTTTTTTACTGACAATGAGTCGAGTCAACTTTCCATAGCCTCGGATAAGGCACCTGGTAGCACTGGAGCCCAGTTATCCTACCCGACATGGTCGTTCTCTTCCATCTCGTAAAAATAAAAGCACCCAAGCAAAAGCTCCCAAAAAGTCCAAATGTCCCGGTCAAGGTTGTTTTCATCAGTTGAAGTACTGTTTGATTAGTCTTACGTTTCAGGAACGCCGTATTACTCGATCGCATCGAGCCACATCTGAGAGTCAGCTCAATCGACCTGAGGAAAGCGACCAATCTCGAACGCGTCGCTTCGAGCCACCACCTCCACCACCGCCACCGCCAAGTAGTGCTCCTGTCTCGTCGTCTTCACATTCAAATCAACCTGTGCCACGAATCAATTCTGACAGATCACAGGTGCTGACATTATTGAGGTGGCCCCATGAGGCCTCCAATTTAAAACTTTTGATCCTGGGTTATTTCGGAGGTCCCTACCAGCAAATATTCCAAATTTCTCGACCCTAGGTGTCGTTATGAACCCCATTTCTAAGTCCCATTCGCTTGCGGGATTCTGATGACAGATACTTTTTATTCAGAGTGCGTAGGACTTGAAAAACATATCAACGCCACATGGGCGCTTTTTCAGAAGGGTTAGTACAATCAAGAACTTGATTGCGAACGTGCACTGTGTACTGTGAAGTTATTCTGCTGTGAAATATTAGCTGCAGTGTAAGATGGATGTCGGGCCATTGGACGATACCCCTTCCAGGTATAGAAAGACGAGGGGCCTGCAATGTTTCCGTTCTTCTCAGACTGNACTTGAAAAACATATCAACGCCACATGGGCGCTTTTTCAGAAGGGTTAGTACAACCAAGAACTTGATTGCGAACGTGCACTGTGTACTGTGAAGTTACTCTGCTGTGAAATATTAGGCTGCAGTGTAAGATGGATGTCGGGCCATTGGACGATACCCCTTCCAGGTATAGAAAGACGAGGGGCCTGCAATGTTTCCGTTCTTCTCAGACTGCTGAAGCGGTTCTTTGGCTAACTATGCTTGGCCCAAGTGCTGACTGACAGAGATCTCTTTTGGTTTACTTATACCTATATATATGTAACTTGAGTAGGTCACTGGCAGGGAACGACGACTGGGCGACTTGGGTGGGACTTAAGGTTCGTGCAGTTGGAAAAAGGATGCGCTAAATCCTCAACTTCCACTTGAAGCTCTCATGACATGTGGAATCACTTCGATGCTCTATGAAAAAAGTGCATCGACAATGACGGCTATCCACCTAGCCGACCAAGTGTCTAAAGAACAAACTGGCTGTTTCCGCGAAGAAATACGCCAACAATCCCAGACCCACATAATAGGCCAATAACAAATGTAAACTTACGAGAAAGCTACCCTCAAAATTTACCTCCAGAAACGTCCTTCACTCATCGCAGTGAATGTGTCAACGGAGCCACCTGTGCAACAACAGTCAAGTGGAACATTGAAGCCTCGAGTGAGTACTTTTTGCACTTTTTCCAAAGTGCTCATTATGATTTTGAACGGGTTTTCTTCAGGAAACTCCCAGAGTTCCTGAAGGTGAAGACTATCCCGAGCGATTGATGAGCCCACCCCCAACTAAAGAACCGCGATCGATCATCAAACAGGGTTACTATAGGTACGTATTCGTATGACGTATCGAATATCGATTAGAATCGATTACTAACAGGTAGTGCAACAACCGTTCACCTCTCAATAAACACACTTCAGCAGTCATCAGAGCAGCTACTCGAAATCGATGCAATCCGATCACGTGGACCGTTACAATGAAAGACCTGAAACCTCCGCCTCTCAGGTATGCCCTTCGTTCTCGATGAATCCTACCCCAAAGATATGTGGGAAGCTCTCAGAACAGTTGAGTACGCTTGGAAACCAGACACGTGTAGTGGCACTCAAACGCTCGAACCAAGAAATTGAACTACCAAGACTTCACTACTGAACCGACAACTTACTACGACCCATTTAGACATCTGGGGATGGCCCATATCAAAACCGACCGAAGTCCACGAATTTCAACGATTTGCCTGAGGAAGAACGGTATCGCATAATGCAAGAAAACCTTGAAAAGCATCGGAGAGGTCGTGCCACTACACCCAAACCACCAGTCACTTCCTTTAATGGACCTTTCTTCAAGTTAGAGGAAGTGAACCCTTCAAGGTGAGGCTTTACATCATAGAATTACTTTTGTAATCGATTCGAAAGTCAATTTTAGGCCGAATGAAGGACAATTCGGCAATGGGAGTCAAAATCACAGGGATTATTCGAAAGAAAGAGACAATAGTGGAATGTCATTTGCTGAAACCAGGACGATATCCGCATCTGAAGCTGAGCTTAGCAATATCAAAGTGAGATTTAGGAAAATTAATGACGATTTTTGCTGCTGCATGGTAATAGGGTATTCAATAAAAGATCATTTTAATCGGTTCTTTCTCCAAGGGTTTTAAATCCGAAGTTTTTGTGGACTTTCTGTAAACTGACGAACCCTAATAAACAAATTTTCAGGATCCCACGGTTGTCATTTGGCCACCGTTGAACGACAAAAAAACTCAGCGATCTCATTCAGTTATGTCCCGAAAAATCACTGGTGAGCTCCAAATTTACACTCCTTTTTCTCCACGTTCACTATTCAAAACTATAAAACTATGCATTAACGCGTGAGTCCAACAAACTATAAAACCGTTGGTTCGTTCCGTTCAGTGTCCCGTTATTCCACCAGTTCATCACACTTCCAACTNCCCCCCCTTAGCACAATAGCAGTGATTACCGATCGTGTAGAGCGGAGGTTATGTAGTAGCAATTGCTGCACTACCCCATGCATGGTCCAGAGATCGAATTCCCAACTGAAAACTGCCCAGGCTACCAAAGTCTCCCATCCTTCAGAGGACGGTTGATTGTGGCAGACCCATCTGGGTGATAGAGGCACTGGCCTATACACCGGGTGGCCACCGCTAGTCATTATGTAAGCCCCATACGCAATCAAAACATCGTTGCGATCCTCATCCTTACATCCTTTATTGACTGAGATATATATTTATTTATTTGTTCTTACACATGCGATCGATAAGTATCAAACCTAAAAATCGAAGTCGATTGCATGTCGTATCCCTCAGACGGGATTGATCAATGCCCCAAGACATTTCTTTATCCTTTTATTATATAAACCTAGGTAAATATATATAATTATATATTTGTATATGAACTCTGCTTCGAAAAGAAGGCACTTTTTCAGACCCCGATCGAATAGCTGAATATCGACGTCAAAAGCAGATGGAAGAAGAAGCGATGCGACGGCATGAAGAAGAGAAATTGTTGGCAATGACGAAGCAGGTCTGTACATAACTCTCAGCTAGCTTTTCCTCTGAGCTGATACGAGTTGAGTACCGCTCCGTCTACGTAGCTGCGACTCTTTTTTCGAACGGTGGATTTAAAGTTTACTTGGAATTTGTCACGCAACTCATTCCCCTCACTAACTAACGTCGTGCCAAAGGCAGTCCTCTCAGTGCAACTGGCGCAAATTCAGAAAAACTTTGCAAAAAAAAGGACAGAACGGGACTCCTAGTATTTCGACTGCGTCACAGAATACAATATCGACTGATCGAGAAAGTTGGAAAATTCGAACGATTTGATATTGATCGAAATCGATTGGCTGTTTAGATGCGTGCAATGCAAATTCAACAACGACGTCTGTACGAGCAATGTCACGGTGTAGTTTCACCAGTTCCATTCATCGACGTTGATCACAACCCCTATGGAAGCCAGTATGGGCTAGCTCAGTCCCCAGCTCCCGAATTTCAATCGCCGGTCAGTTTTCCAAGATATTTTGATATTGCTTTGGGTTTGGGTACCATTTTATCAATATCTTCATACTATCATGAAACATAGTGTCGAAAGACATTGGAATAATCGTATTAGGTTGTAAGGAAAGTTCTGGCCGTTTCGTCAGCTATTTTTCAAAAAGTTATAACTCATCTCAAAGTGAACATTTTCATTCATAGTAAGCCCCATTCGATTCCACACATGTTCACCAACGTGATACGAATCTGTCTATCCCATTCTCATAAAAGTCCGGAGATCTGGATTCCAAAAACTCGAGAAAGGCAGCTTCCACGTCGCATCGATTTTTGAATGCTCGTTCCTTTTAAAAGCTGTCCAGATGTTTGAATAAATGGCAGTCAGCAGGTGACAGG